GTCTCTTTGTCAGTTAGTTCTTTTTCTGAAATTCTGATGTGTTCTTTTATTTGGGCAGTTTTTCTTTGAGTGTACCTGTTATATTGTAAGGTGTGGAGCCTTAGGTATTTGCCAGGGCAGGGCAACCCATATGGCTGCATCGTGGTGCTGTATTTGGGGGATGGGTGAGAGAGGGAACAATGCCATTTGCTTAGCTTTCACCCCTCCTTCAGTCACTTCCCCTGCTACCCACAAGCAAATTGCATCCTTCCAGGTTCTGCTCTGCTGCTGATTCCTGAGTGTGTGGGCTTGTGTACATTCTGGGACCTCATGGGCCCCTTCAATGGACTCTCCTGTGAGGCTGGGAGTTTCTCTCACCACCACAGTCCCTACAGGTTTTTACAACCAGAGATTTTTGAAGATTTCTTTTCCCATGCTGGAACCCTGGGTGGCATGATCTGTCTCACTCCCCAGTTGTTCCTTCTGGTTTATCCGCACACGAATGTGGGACCACCCAGTCCACCAGCCACCATCTTGCCACACATCCTTTCCCCCCTGGCTTCCCCTCTCCGTCCCTCCTACCAGTCAGGATGAATGTTTCTTCTTTTAACTCCTTGGTTGTCAGACTTTCGATTTTTCTGGCAGTTCTGGTTGTTTTTGTTTTTAAATTGGTGGTTGTCCTTCTTGTGGTTGTGTGAGGAAATGAAGTGTGTCTGCTCCATCTTGAAAAGCCAACCTCTTTACATAAGGCGTAGAGTTTTTATAGTGCTCTGGTGAGGTGGGGAGTGACCTTGAAGTTCAGTTGAATTACAGGAGCTTCTTTGGTTATCTCACAGCAAATATTGTAAAAACATTGTTGAATTTAAAGATGGTGAAGCATATTTTTAAAATGCAAAGACAGTATTTGTCAAATTTGCTGATCTTTATGACAAGTGGCTCTGCAACAGGCTTTGCAGCAGTTTAAAACCAACCAACCCAGCAGCCAACCAGAAAGGAAAGATGGCATTTTAACAATGAGTGAGAGTAACTGCCTTTTTAAGATGGAGATTCAGATACAGAGAGTTTTTATCTCACTGCTTGGAAATGTTTCTTTGATAATGTGATTTTTGTTGTAAGAGATACATGTGTCTAATGACAACTTTGGTATCTGCACCCTGTGAAAAACATGTAAGAATATTTTCTATACTGTTGAAAACCTTCCAAGTAATTTCAGTTAATTGTTAAATCAATTGTTAAGAATATAAAAATGCAATATCTTTTGGTTACTTTGCAAGAACAACTGACAGGAGGGAAGATAGAAATTTATTAGATAAAATTCAACAAAAACGAACTGATGGGAGTTACTGAAAAATGAAAACAGTGATCTAGTAAGTACAAAAATGATGCATTACTTTAGTTTCAGTCCTCACATTTTGCAGTTCTCCCTTGCTCTACTATACAGCCATTGCAATTAAGTGCTGAAATAAGCAGAATTTAGGACCTGATATTTCCATCACCTAATTATAAAATACTTAAGTCAGTATTTAAAAAATAATGTAATTTCATTTATTTAAAAAATTACCATTGCTCCACTATCAGTATTAATAATCTTTATGAGAGTGGAAAGACCTGTACAGCTGTTGGTGGCAAAATGGCATCTGGTATTAATTAGACTGGTGGAGTCAGATCAGACCTGGGTTTAGCAACCTCAGTACTTGAGTTCCGGCTAAGAAAGAATTCGGAGCCAAGACTCAGCTTATAAGAGAAAGTTTATTTAGAAAGTCACAGAGGTAGAACAACTGAGTTGTAGAAGAAAAGGGCTCAGGAAACAAGTTACAGAGGCAATGAAGGGCGCTTAGAGCTTCGGAAAAGAGAGAGGCAGGGAACACATGTCTAGGGAAGCGGGTGGGGAAAGGCAGGGGCGTGCTCCACAGAGAGTCTCACTGGGTTCTTCGTCTTGAGGGCTTTCATTTGCTCCCCAAAGGTGGGGTTTCTCGGGAGGTCCCCAGGAGGATCTCAGTGGAATATTCATCAGTTTTCCAGGCGGGCCCCTCAGGGTCATGGTTTCCACTGATTGGTTGGTGCTAGGTGAGGGGGTCATTAGTGCATCTGGTCCTGATGTCAGCCAGGCAGTCACTTGTCTGGTTTTGCTGCTTTTCTGTGCCTGGAGCTGAAACACAACAGGCCTAGATGTCATCCCAAGGTGTAACGCTTAAGGGAGTGGTTGTGCCAGGGCCCACGTGGCAGTCACAGGAGGCCACCCTTCGGTCCCCTGTTCCTCCTCCAAGGGTGTCTACTGCATGACTAGTGACAGGCCAGGGGAAGAAAGGTCAGGGGAGGGTCCCAGCTGCACGATCAGCGATACGGAAGGTCAGGAGAGGAGTTAAACCTCAGTGCCAGGGATATGAAATGTTGGGGTTGAAACGGCATGACCAGCGATGTGCTTTGGGAGGAAGGTCACCCTGGGAGCAAGGTCCTTGTTCTTCCGGTTGCTTAGCACTTAGGGCTTTCCACCTGGTGACCGTCCGTACCTGTCTGTCTCCCTTGCTCTGCTGGTGTCTAACTGCCTACCATACAACTAAGATGTGCAACTGTTTTTAAATGCTTGTAACCTTTCATTCTTTTTAATCCCTATTCTATGTATGTTTTATATTGCAATACTATATAGAATGTATAGTAAAACGTATGCATATAATAAATGTGCATATATTGGAGGACCATACTAAACTTTTGTTCATTTGGTTTGTCAGAGTATATAATCAAAGTTTGGAGACCTGTTTTCACTGGTCACTCATGATCTGGCAAACTGTTACTGGTAGTAGCAACTATTTATCCTTAAAGTCTAAATCACTGTTTTAGAGATTATAAATCAGCACGTAGTTTTAAACTCATGAGCTTTTGTTTTTTAATGTGGAGCCTTGATAAATGAAGTTTAGCTTTAGGGTCAATTCCAAAACAGTGGTTGTCAGAAGTGTGGAGCATGCCCTGACTGTCGTGGCTTAGCTGGCTGGGTGTTGTCCCACAGAGTGAAAGGTTGCTGGTTTGATTTCCGGTCAGAGCGTGTGCCAGGGATACAGGTTTGGTCCATGATAGGGGTGCATGCAAGACAACCAATTGATGTTTCTCACTCACATCGATGTTTCTCTCCCTCACCATCTCCCTCCATTCCCTTCTCTCTAAAAATAAATAAATAAATAAACAAACAAGTAAATAAATAAATGAAATCTTTATTAATAGGCCAGGCATTGAAAGACAAATACCATATGATCTCACCTTTAACAGGAAGCTAAACAACAAAACAGACAAGCAAACAGAATAAAAACAAAGACACTGAAATAGAGAACAAGTGGGCAGTGACCAGAGGGGAGAGGGAAGGGAATTTCAGGGGAAAAAGGGGAGGGATTTTGAGGAACAAGTATGAAAGACACAGGGATGAGGACTGGGGCGGGGGGGATGGGAGGGAGGTGGGGGGCACGGGGAAGGGGGGCTGTGATGGGAGAAATAGATAAAAAACTGTACTTGAAAAAATAACTAAATTTAAAAAAAGTAAAAAAAAAGTGTAGAGCAGCACCAGCATTGCCTAGGAACTTAGTAGAAATGTATATTTCCAGGCCACACCTCACACCTATTGAACCAGAGATACTGCTTAACGAGGTGGCTAGGTAATTCTAATGCTCGTTTAAGTTTGAGAACTGCAGGCCTAACTGATTGAGACCGATGGGTCATCCCTTCTTCCTATTTCATGATTTGTCTGAGCCAGTTTCTTCCTATCTGTGCTGTGTCTCAGTCTTAGCCTGATTTTTTGCATCTCTGCCTGAGATTTTCTTCTCTCCTTTCTTCCTCTTTTTCCTCTCCCTGTTGTGAAACATTGTTTATTCGTGTTATTTTCACAAGAGGGGTAGTGTTTTGGTTCTTATCTTTTGGATGCCAGCCAACATGACATGTTTAAAGGGAACATTTGTAACATTTTAAAAGTAGTATTTGTAAACTACTTTAAGTGGACTGGAATAAGCATGTGATTAATATTCCGTTTTTCCACCTATACCCTCTTTTTTTAAAAATTTTTACATGTAGGCAGCCAAAGGAAGGCAAAGGAAATTGCATATGACCTTCTGCCCTGAAAAGCTGAGGCATGCCAAATTTTAGTCCAAGTTCCACCTATACCCTCTTGATTTTAAATTTTATAATCTTGAAATACCTCTCTACCAACTAATTTCAAAACAAACATTTTAAAGTATGAGTCATTTAGATTCAACAATTGTTGAATTTTGTTATATTTGTTTTATCTTTCTATATATATACATATACCCACATACACACACCTTTTTTGCTGAACTATTTGGTAGTAAATTGTATACATTAGTACCTTTACCCCTAAATACTGTACGCCTAAGAGTAAAGGTCAAAGTAGCTTTTAAGGGTACTGGTACTAAATTGTTCTAAAAGGCCAATTCTTAGCATATGTTAAACCAATTATTAGAGTCTCTTAAATATATTTTTTAAAGATTTATTTATTTATTTATTTTGGGAGGGAAAGTGAGGGAGAAAGAGACAAGAGAAACATCAATGTGTGGTTGCATCTTGTGCACCCCTACTAGGGACCAGGCCTGCAACCCAGGCATGTGCCCTGACTGGGAATTGAACTGGTGACCCTTTGTTGGTTTGTAGGCCAGCACTCAGTCCACTGAGCCACATCAGCCAGGGCAACCTCTTAAATATTTTCAAGATCCTTTCATAAATGCGTTACTGAGGAACAGAAAAGTCGTGAGTATATAAATGAATCCTCCAACCTTTCTTAACCAAAAATTATCACCTGAACTATAGAACACACAGGATGATTTGAGTGACTGTTTTCTTATTTTTCCCAAGGATAGCCCATAACTAGTACCTATCTGCATGAGTAGGAGAAAAGTGAATTCATTATATACAATGAGATCTAGGAATCCAGTTTAGTTGGACTGTGTGTGTGGCAAGTTTTTAAAGGATTTTGCTTTGACTAGCTTGTAATGCTTGTACAAATAACTTGTTATTTTTTATTTTAGATTACAGGTCCACCAGGTTGTGGAAAAACTCAGTTTTGTATAATGATGAGTGTCTTGGCCACCTTGCCCACCAGCATGGGGGGATTAGACGGAGCCGTTGTGTACATCGACACAGAATCAGCGTTTAGTGCTGAAAGGTAGGAGGTGTTACTATTTTCCATTATAACAGTTTAGTGTTGTAACATAGATAGTATGTAACATTTTCAAACAGGTTAACATTTACTCTTTTTTGAGGACACAGAATGCTATTGTTTTAAAGGAATTTTCCTTTTAAAATTGACAGAGGAAGCAGTTTCTTTTTATCTTGTCTGTTTATTGGTTTAAGTGGGGTTCCTGGATACAATGTGTTTTGGAGGAAGTCAGGAAGAAAGTTCAGGTAAGAGAGAGAAATGTAAGTGGAAAATGGGAAAGAGGGAAAACTAATAAAGAGAGGAAGTAAGCTACTTTGTAACTAATTTCTAGTTGGATATAAAATGTTAATAGAAACATTATAAATTTCTGAACATTTTATTGATTGAGAAGTATTTCACTTTAATCTTTGAAATAGTATGGTATTCATTGTAAGAAACACACTGATAGTAAGTGTATCTTTGCTTGGAAAGAAAAGATTTCTTTAGTTTGAAAAGGACCTTTAACATTGTATAAGAGAGGCATTTTGGCATTTGTGTATTTCCGTATACCTGAAAATAAGTTTGGTCCTCATCCTTCTCTGCTCTGATTGATATTCATAAGCAGGAGTGCTTGTGTGTTTAGACTCTGACTCTATCCTGTTCTCTTAGTCAGGTTATGGTATAGGTATAGGCCTTTGAGTCTTTCTCTCACTATGTCATTATGAATCAGATCTCTCCCTTATTTCTCTCAATGAATACTACTTAAAGCGTATTCCCTGACCAGACAAGTTCCACATCGATTATTCTCTGTAGAGTTTATTTGCTTCGTTCTACATCTCTTGGCTATCCATTCTTGCTAAGTATATGCTACTGGTTTGTCAGCAATTTGAGTTTGTGGTATGTGTTTGTATCTTCAAAGCCAAATCCAGTGACTGACACATAAAAACCTCAGAGTGTTGATAAATGAATGGATGGGTGTTACTGTCAGATAGTGAAATTCTGATATCACTTTTTCTTTTTTAATTACATTTGACACTCAGTATTATTTTATATTAGTTTCAGATACACAACACTGTGATTAGACAGTCATATACTTTACAAAGTGATCCCCTTGTACTTCAGGTACCCCTCTGGCATGATACATAATTATTACATTATTATTGACTGTATTTCATTTGCTGTTCTTTACATCCTTATAACTATTTAATAACTACCAATTTGTATTCTTAATCCCTTCACTTTTTTTACCCAGCCCCTGACCCCTCTCCTCGTCGGCAGCCGTCAGTCTGTTCTGTGATGAGTCTGTTTCTGTTCCATTTATTTTGTTCTTTCAGTTCCACATACAAGTGAAGTCTTTATTTGTTGCTCTCTGACTTATTTTACTCAGCACACTACTTCCTAGGTCCTTCCATGCTGTCACAAATGGTAAGATTTCATTTTTTATACTTGAGTATTATTCCATTGTACATACGGACCACAACTTTTTTATCCACTTGTCTGTTGATGGGCACTTGGGTTGGTTCCAAATCTTGGTAATTGTAAACAGTGCTGCCCTGAGCATGGGAATGCATGGGTCTTTTGAATTAGTGTTTTGGGTTTCTTCAGATGTATACCCAGAAGTGGAATTTCTGGGTCATAAGGCAGTTCTCTTTAAAAATTTTTTGAGAAACCCACTGTTTTCTACAGTGGCTGCACCAATTTACAACCCCACCAACAGTGCACTAGGGTTCCCTTTTCTCCACATCCTCACCAGCACTTGTTTGTTTGTGATGGCCATTCTGACAGGTGTGAGGTGATATCTCACTGTGGTTTTAATTTGCATTTCTCTGATGATTAGTGACATTGAGCATCACATACGTCTATTGGCCACCTGTATGTCCTCTTTGGAGAGAATGTTACTGCCAGTGGAAGTGGGGTCCTTGTGGTGTTGCGAGGAAAGCATTCCAGGAGAACCACATATGGGGGGGCTGCAGCATGGCAAGATTTACTCAGGTGGAAATAGAAGTTTGCCCCTGTGTCCCATCTCTGTTTGTCGTGTCGTGGAAAAAGTCCAACTGTATCTTCAGCAAGGCCAAAACGAAGCCCGGTGTCCATAGTTTCTGTTCCTTTTTTCTGGCATTAGGAGTATCAGTCCCTGTCCACGTAGCTTAGCACTATTCCTGGCTGTGCTGCTGTACCCAGGCTCCAGTCTGGAGCTTGCGTTTGGAGTCCAAGTGGCTGCCAACCACGTGGCTGCTAGACCTACACGGTTACTATGGAGAGATCGCTTGAATGGATGGGGCCAGCTCATGTTCCTGGGGGAGAGAGAGAGCTTCTTGGCTAAGCTGGGTTGTATTATCTCAGGCTTGGGATGGACGAGGTACTTTTTCAAAGTAACCAACTTCCCAAACTCTTGCAGGCTTCTAATGGGTCCACTCCCTGGCCAGTTGATTTCTTTCCCAGGTTAGACTGATAGGCCTCTATGGTCAAGCATCTGCCCCTACACCATTTAATTTCTACCGTGCATATGCTTACCTCTCCCTCTCCCCACTCCCGCCCCGCCCCGTCCACAATCTGGTACCAGACAGGGGAACAGGGGTGTTAATCCTGGGTGGGGCAATGCTGAGATCCACTGGAGCATGTGAAACTGTAGCTTCCTGGCTAAGCAAGCAGGCTTATGCTCCCTGGTCGATTATGCTCAACAATGTCTGATTCTCTTTGCTTCCTTCTTTTATGAATATCTAGCTAACTATATATGGTAACATCTCCCCCTGAAGACCTCGGGCCTTATACTCTTACAGGGGTAAACTGATGAAGGTCTCGTTTTCTGTAATTCCTTCTTGTTACCGAGGGGCATAGTCCTGCCTGTCCCCAGGCCCAGAGGCTCTGCCTGTCTGCCAAAGGAAGAAAGGAGCAAAAGGAAAGGGGAGTCTTCACTCGGGGAAGAAGGATTTTGCAAAGTCTAGATCAGTCTGGTGTCCCTGGGAGGCAGCCTATGCAGTGTCCAGAGGATGGTGATGCTGGACAACCTAGCATCTCTGTTGTTGTGACCTAGAGAATAAATCATATGATAAGTAACTGGACCCAAGATGCTGGGTTCAATACCTTTTTCCATTTGGCTGATCCTGAGTTGTATCTTTCATAATAAACTGGTAATAGTAAGTAAAGTGTTTTCCTGGGTTCTGTGGGACATTCTAACCAATTATTGAACTTGAGGAGAAGATTGTGGGAACACCCAATTTTTAGCTTGTCAGTGAGTAGCACAAGAGGGCCAAGACTTGCAGTTGGTGTCAGACATCAGGGCCATCTTGTAGGAATGAGCCGTTAGTCTGTGGGGTCTGAGCTAACTACCAGTAGTTAGTGTCAGAATTGAATTGGCTTGTAGGACACCCAGTTGGTATCCACAGGGAACTGGAGAACTGTGTAGGGTGGAAAACCCACACATTTGGTGTCAGAAGTATTGTGGGTAAAAACAGTTCATAAACATAGGAGCCTGCTAGCATCATGAAAAGACAACCGGTCCTTGTGGTACCTCCTGATGGAAAAACAATTAAATCTGAATATAATCAAGCTTTCCGAGCCAACTACCAGCTTACAACGTATACAGAGAAGAGAGGTACATGTTAAATTACACCAGAGGGATGCAATCAGCAAAAACTGAACTGTGGTAAATGACAGAATAAACAATCTGGTTTTATAACAAATAAATAGTTAGATTAAAAAAAGAGTTAGAGGACCAAGATGGGGGCATAGGTAGGTACACTTTGCCTCTTTGCATAACCAAAAGGACAACAGCAAATTTAAAAACAAAAAGAACCAGAATTGCCAGAAAGTTGAACTGTAGTGAAGTCCAACAACCGAGGAATTAAAGAAACATTCATTCAGACTGGTGGTGGGGGGGTGGAGATGGGCAGGCAGGGTGGAGAGGACGTGCAGCAAGGCAGCAGCAAGCAAACCAGACGGTCCCACATTTGCATGCAGATAAACCAGGAGGAACATGGGGAGTGAGACAGTGAGCAACCCAGGGTTCCAGTGTTGGAAAAGAAAGTTTCAAAACCTCTGGTTTTAAAAACCTATGGGAGTTGTGGCAGCAGGAGAAACTCCCAGCCTTACAGGAGAGTTCATTGGAGAGACCCACAGGATCCTAGAATGTACACAAACCTACCCACCTGGGAATCAGCACCAGAGGGGGCCCAATTTGCTTGTGGGTAGTAGGGCAAGTGAGTGAAAGCCAGCCTGGAATCCAGCAAGTGACATAGTTCCCTCTTAGACCCTTCTCCCACATACAGCACCACAACTCAGCCATGTGGGTTGCCCCACCCTGGTGAATACCTAAAGCTCTGTCCCTTACAACAGAACAGGCACACAGAGACAAAATATGCCCCAAATGAAAGAACAGATTAAACCTCCAAAAATTGAACTAAGCAGTAAAGAGACAGCCAACCTATCAGATGCAGAATTCAAAACACTGGTAATCAGGATGTTCACAGAAAATAGAGGAGAAAGTATAGGGTATGCAAAGTGAAATAAGGAAACATATACAGGGAACCAACAGTGAAGGGAAGGAAACTGGGACTCAAATAAATGATTTGGAGCAGAAGGAAGAAATAAATATTTAACCAGAACAGAATGAAGAAACAGGAATTCAAAAAAATGAGGAGAGGCTGAGGAACCTCTGGAACAACTTTAAACGTTCCAACATCTGAATTATTGGGGTGCCAGAAGAAGAGAAAGAGCAAGAGATTGAAAGTTTATTTGAAAAAATAATGAAGGAAAACTTCTCCAGTCTGACAAAGGAAATAGACTTCAGGAGAAGTCCAGGAAGCCCAGAGAGTCCCAAAGAAGTTGGATCCCAGGAGGAACACACCAAGGCACTTCTCAATTACATTATCCAAGATTAAAGATAAGGAGAGAGCCTTAAAAGCAGCAAGAGAAAAGGAGAGAGTTACCTACAAAGGAGTACCCATAAGACTATCAGCTGATTTCTCAAAAGAAACCTTGCAGGCAAGAAGTTTCTGGAAAGAAGTATTCAAAGTCATAAAAAGCAA